AGATGTCCGCTTAACAGAGCGTCCTTTATATATAACTTTCACTGCAGTAGTATTTCTATAAGGTTGTATTTACATGTACCAACTAGTTCTAGGTTCGAATTCAATAGAACGCGCACCACTTTCGGGCACTTGAATTCCTCTGCTGGGCAACTTAGTATATAAACAAAAGATTACGAAAACGAACTTTAGTAATATGAGATTACTTGTAATCACGAAGCCATACACACACTAATGCACAGATTAACGCACTTTATATATGTAAACACAAACATACACACTTAGTTTATATCTCACATTTCTCAATCAAGATTGCTCATTAAACGCCTAAGTTATTTGCCGGTGTCAACGCTTGGATTTCTTTATATCATTTACATTGTGTTATATATCTACTTATGGCTATATAGATGTATATAAATATATATTTAAAGGTATATGTTTAAGCGCAAAAATGCCATTTGACTTACATTGCATTTGGATCGGACCAGCTGAAATGCCGCTTTATACGCTCGATATCCAAAACTTGTTGCTGTTGTTGTTGTTGTAGATTCAAGGTTGCCTCTTTCTTGGGAGCCATTACAGCGGCGATCTCCTTTTACGCTCAAATAGGCACRAAATAAAGTGAACACAAAAACGCACACACGCACAAAGGGTAACACTGGCTTTTGGTGCAGATTCTTGTAAGAATGGTGGACTGCACGCTATAGTTGTAGCACCGGTTTGTTAGTAGCTATTATTGTTGTAGTTGCGTCGTTAAGCGCTATTTTACGSAGTTGCTTTACGATTTTTTTTCTTTATAAACTAAAAGTTGTTAGTTTGACTAGCTTCACTTTTGTGAGGTATGCACAGATGTTTGTATGTATATGTATGTGTGAGACACGCTTGAAACSTTAACGATRGTAAAAAAAAWGGTAAAATTAAAAAAAGGGTAAAATTTGGAAAAAATGGAAAAATTATTTAACACTCGCCATGTGACGCATATTTGCGAGACAAAAGCAAACCGTTAAGTAATAACCGAATRCGCGCTGCAAAAGCGAAATGGCGTATAATGCGCAAAACCAGCCGGAAAATGTATTGTTTTTGACTTTTTAATTGCACTTTTTGTTGTTCTTTTTTTTATAATTTCACTACTTCACTGTTTGTTTGTTTTGTTTTTACACTTTAAATGCACTTTGCTGGTAGCTTTAAAAATTTCGCATTTTTTTTGTTGTTTTGTTAATTTTTTTTTTTTTTTGCAAATTGCTTTTGTTGTTGTTTTGGTCGCTTTTACCGCTCTTTCACATAATGCACAATTAATGCATAATCAGACAAAGTGCCCAGACACATGAACCGCAGCGCCATGAAATAAGTGGCAATGAGTTACTGCCACTTTTTATAACTTTTATGAAAAATGCTTGGAATATCTGCTTGCTCACGCTGTGGATTTGTAGGCAAAMGCTTGTGCGAGCAAGCAATAAGGAATAAAGTTACGTCCACAAAGTTGTGTTGTAAAATTAACAAAGTCTGAAATTATGAGCCGAAACTAACAAACTAAGCGCAGAGAGTCAGGCTGAGGATTGGGCTCATATATATGTATAATACTTCGGAAGACATATTATGAAAAACGTTATGTTACTTTCGTTCAACGGTCAATAGCTTAATCATCGGCTTTTATGTGTAACGAATGGTAAGACGAATTTTCGAAACACAAATACGAGTTTATTGATTATTTTGCTGTTGAATCATTTTTGAGAACAGGAAAGAAGCAAAAATCTCTTAAAWCACATTAATGTCTATTTTAGTGAATTTTCGGAGTCTATCAACAAACACGAGCTTATTGATTATTTTAACTAATGAGTCACAAGAAGTTAATCATACTCAGCTCGTATTAAACTCCATTTTTGATAAATTTTCGAAGCTTATTAACAAACTCAAGTTTATTGATTATTATAAATAAATTTTTCAGTAACTATTGATGACAGGGAGCTTTCCACACAGCTAAACATTCTTCATAATCGCGTTCAAATGCTCTTTGTTGGAATTTGCGAAGCCTATTAACAGCTCGAGTTTACTAAATATTTTAYTATTGAGTCGCAAGGATTTTACCATAAAAATCCTTCATCTCGTATTAWACTCTATTTTTTGTGAATTTTTRTTGYCTATCCATAGACGAGCTATTATTCTGCTGTTAACCTCAATTCACAAATGTTCTTTCAATTCGCATTAAATTTTTTTTTTTTAATAAATATATAAACTTTTCCTAATTTTCTACATGAAGAAATTTAACTAAACTCAGAGTTTATTAAACACAAAAAATAAAACTCGAGTTTATTAAAAGCAAAATATTAAATGTCATTATTTTTAATTCATGTTTATACTTCATTTAACTCAGAGTTCATTTAAGTCCAAATATGAAACTCGAATTTATTAAAAACAAAAATTTGAACTTTGTTTTTTTAACACATTTTGATATTTTTATTTTATTTTAAACTATGAGTTTATTACACTTCAAAAATTAAATTGGAGTTTATTAAAAACAAAATATTAAACTTAATTTTTTGAATTCATGTTTATATTTCATTTTAACTTACGGTTTATCAAACCCCAAACATTAAACTCGAGTTTAATAAAAACCCAATATTGAACTCTATTTTTTTTTAATTCTTTGTATCATTTTATTATATTTTTAACTGAGAGTTTATGAAGCCCAAAATATTTAACTCGAGTTTATTTTAACCCCAATATTGATCTTTATTTTTGTAAATTCTTTTTGATATTTTTATTTTATTTTAAGCTCAGAGTCAGAAGTGTAATACTTCAAACATTAAATTAGAGTTTATTAGAAACAAACAATAAACATATTGTTTTTTAAATTCATGTTTAAATTAACACTGCAAATATTAAACTCGAGATTACAAAGGAAAATTTTTTTTAACATTATTACTTTTATAATTTTTTGATTAACCAAACTCTGAGTTAACTAAACACAAAACGCTAAACTCTGAGTTTAATAAACACAAAAAATAAACTTCATTTTGCAAATTGATTTTAAAATTTTATTAAAATCCGAGTTTAATAAACTCAAAAAGTTNTTATTAAACTCAAAACATTAAACTCGAATTACTAAACACCAAATATAAAACTTAATTTTTTAATCCATTTCATATTTATTTAACTCCGAGTTTACTAAACACTAAACAGTGAACTCAGAGGTTAATAAACACAAAATAATAGATTTAATTATATAACTAGTTTTCAAATTTTATTAAACTCATAATTCATTAAACAAAAAATATTAAACCCAAGTTTACTAAACCCAAAACATTATATTTAATTTTTTAATAAATTTTCATTAAACGCAGAGTTCAATAAACGCAAAACATTAAACTCGAGTTTAAAACGTTAAGAAATCGTATATTTCAAACGGAAAGAGTTTACTACTTCAGGATTTATATTTTGAAAACTTTCTCAAAATCTGTGTAAACAAACTTCAGTGTCGAATTGGTAATGCATATGGTTGTTAAACTCTGCCAAAATCAAGACTTTATGTAATCCGAATTCAGGTTTAGATTTAACTTTATTGAAATAAACAATGTATATCAACAGTTTTGAGAATTCTTTGGGCCCTTAACGCATTTTTAGTTGAAAGACTTTAAACCTAAACCTAATATTTGGCGTTAAGGTTTATAAATAAGATCCAGATCCGCTTTTGACAGCTACTTAGATAAATTCGCTGAATGTTTCACTGCCACATTTGAAATTGACCAAGTAGGTGTCAATAGAAGAGTCACAAAAAACCTGAAGCAACTAATGAAATTTTTTATTTTATTTTTTTTTTGAAACTGAGGTGAACAGCTTCCGAAATTAAAATATTGAGTTCTTTACCATGGCGAGTATAACTTGTTAGCTGCTGGGTAAGATTCTTATCAATTCATGAATTAGATTTCAATGTTCTCATGTATTAGGTTGCAACATTGCTACACACAGGTGACTAAAAACTAAAGGCATAAACATTTTGATTGATTTTGAATAGTAAAGCAGATTTTTCGAATTTCAATTCGATCAATTGTGMCAAAATCACTGTCACACTTTTCTGTATACACCCTTTTCGGAGATTATAATAGTATTCTAAGACCAAACAATACAACAAAGTACTTCATTCTTCGAAGCTTAGTCTGTACTTAGTAGACTTCTAAATGAATTTTGAAAATAGTAATAGGATACTGAGTACAGACTTATAACTGAACTTTGAGAATAGTAATAATATCTATTTCGGAAGTATTTTCGATGAAAAATATAACTACCAGCTGGACCTGGACCACACGCGCCTATTATAGTCTCTATATTATAGTATATGTAGATTTTTTTGTAGATTGAGGTTAAGCGCTTAAGCCTTGTCTGAAAAACGTTGAATTTTGGTTCAATATGATATTGWTAATTATTATTTAATTGTTTAATTAACTGTCGAAAAATAAGTTTTTTCATTTCCAGTTAACCATCTTTGTACACTTTACGGCTTATTTTCTCAACAAAAATAAAAAAGAATTCAAAATGAAGCTTGAAAGTAATCAATTTGAAAGCACTTCTACACTCAACACTCTAAAAAATGCTAAAAATGCTGATTATTCTTATAACTCGTATTTAATGTTACAACTTTCGAGTTTACACAACCAAAACCAACCACTGTCACTGACCACTTGTGAATTATATTACTTGCTTATTAGCCACTTTTTATAGTAATCGGACACGAACTTAACGAGTTAACCAAATTTTCGTTAGATTTTAAAGATTTAACATTGTACCGTTATTGCAATAAGGCGCGCACGTTGCTTAACTGTTTATGTAAACAAACGGAAAAAACACTCCAAAATTTCAACTCCGATATTTGAAAGCAGCAGAAAAAATTTGAAATGCCTTAATATGCGATTTGAAGACAAGACGCGCTGTAAAGACTTCGCCAACGGCACAGCTAAAGCACTCTAGCACCTAACAGCAACTATTAGCCGCCACCGCGTTCAGCGCAAGACTCACCGACAGACGACATTTGGACGCAGCGCTTATTGGCAGATCGTGCAGCGCAGCGCGGCGCACTCACCAATACACGCGCAGAAAGAAATTGAAAGCGAAAGCAAAGCGACCGTATTGTAAGATAATCAGCACCGAAAATCGCCAGCTGAGATTCAAAATACACGAAAATCGATGACAAAGCGAAACTCGGCAGTGAAGCATTTCGTTTGCAGAAGTAAACAGAGAGCTCTATTATAGAAAATGAGGAGTGATAWTTAATGAAAATCAGCAGCTTGATAGCCGAGGGCTGGCAGACGCGTCGTTTTAGCGGCAGCTAATAAACAAACTGCAGAGCACACTTAAGTCCATTTTGGTAAATGTGTGAGTGTGTGTGTWTGTGATTTAAGCGTCGCTGAAGCTTCGGCGCAAAGCGGAAATGATGCAGAAAATCGCCGYTGCCGCTCAAATGTTGATGAAGAGTCGCTCTCAAAAACCGCTCGCAGGCTGAGCGCAGGCGAACAGCAGGTGGTTTGYTCAAAATTGAGAGAGCGGGAATATGAAGCTAAAAAATGCAGAAAAAGAAATAGTAAAGCTAAAAACAGGAACGACGCTGCCGGAGATTGCTGTAAAAACACAAACGCCAAAAATTAATCAGGAAGTATAAGCACAGTGTTCAATATTGAAGGATTGGTGTTTGGGAAATTGTAATTTTTTCAAATATCAGTGAAAAAATACTTGGGTAACTACAAGGCCATWTAATAAGGAGTAGATCTGACTCCAAGTTTAATTTAATATACATATTTTTCTAGCAGAAAATAAGTGTTTTATTTTAACTAGATTGGTTGCTAGGTAGATGAGAGCAAAATCTGTGGATGTGGGGTTCATAATTGGGCGCTTATATTTTGCATTTTTTTTTATATCCTGGTTTTGAAGGCAATGTGGGAGCATCTCACTAAAAACTTGTCAAATTACCTTTATGTTCTAGTACACCTATAAGTGCCATCATTCTTTAATCTTCTTAGAATACTAGCATCTCCTTCTTTTTCGTCATACTTAAAGTTTTTATTTCAGACTCCAGAGGTACCCTGTCGCTCCAGCTTTTTCCTGCCTAGCCTTGCAAATATTTTCTTAACTCAGCTAGAAGAAAGTAATTGATGTTTTGCACTGCAACCTGTGGTCTATTGTGCCCTCTCCTCTATATCACATATGGTAAGAAAAGTCCACCACCATGAATAATTCCAGGAGCTTGCTGGGCTCGACTAATGTGAAGTGATCCCTGTCCAGGTAGATGGAATATAGAGTCATGAGTCTGCTTCCATAAGTTGCTGGATAATGTAGAATCAGGTGTTAAGAAGTTTGTTATTTCATTTCGCAAAACCGGCAGTTTGCTCAAGAGACTATGCTTACGTTGGACAAGTACTTCCTGAGCCTGCAATGCTCTCTATAGTGCACGACAAGAAGGCGGAATTTGACTCAGGGGAGGTAAATCAGCGCAGAGTCCACGTTTTGCAGTTTCGATTGTTGAAAATCTACCGTAGGCTGCWTGGAGCACCGCCGTCCGAATACCGAAAAGGTTTACGAATATTTTTGCTGACCCTCCACCATGGGAGCGGGATTTGGAACGACCGCCKGTGGCTGGTTCCCCTTTAACCTCCTAGATCTCGGARGTTCTTAAGGCGTCATCTGCTCGCTTTTCCGCTTGCTGTCTGTTTGGTTACCTCTGGATTAGCAGYCCTTTCGYTACCAAGCCCCGATGGGGTTACGTTAACCTCCGATTCMAACGAAGGGTTGCTTCTCCTGCTCCTGCTGCTTCTACTGCTCCTGCTTTGAGACAGTCTATTTGCTGCCACTGGCAACTTTCTGTCTCGAAGGTGTCCTATTCACCACTTAAGGTTTATGCCTGTCTCTTATACACATCTCCTCCGATTCCAACGAAGGGTTGCTTCTCCTGCTCCTGCTGCTTCTACTGCTCCTGCTTTGAGACAGTCTATTTGCTGCCACTGGCAACTTTCTGTCTCGAAGGTGTCCTATTCACCACTTAAGGTTTATGCTTGCTAGGATCAACAGGGCCGGTGTTCAGCTTTTGGTATGGGGGGCATTTTTCCTCCCCGCTTTCTCTTSCTTCTTCGCTCACTCCTGGTTTCGACTTTCTTGAAGTCACCTGCTCCTGTTCAATGGGTATTGCTCGAGTGTGTTTTTGTTGCGGCGTTCGCAACATCTGCCAACAGTCGCAGCGGATGCCTTCTTCAGAGTGCCACCACAGGAGGGCACATCATCATCTTCCTACGCATGCTCCTCGAAGAGTCCAGAAACCTGTACTTACACCTAGCTCCTAAGCCGCTCTTATCTGCAATTGGCATGTTGCAGTCAGTTGTGGTTGTAATTTTTATTGTTGTTGTTATAGTTGTAGTTGTTGCCGTGTTTTTGCTATCTCACCTGGTTTTATCGATCATCAGCCCAGCTAGATGAGCCTACAGGTCTATTCTATATATGGGAATGCAAGTGTTGGCCGCGCCAGAGCCCTTTGATGTTCTAACTTCCTCTTTTACTACTCTATAAAAATTCAACCTTCATCTGACTGCAATAACTTCTCTCCAATAAAAACTTAAGYGTTCTTCAAAAGCTAAAATTTTTTAAAAGCGCTTGTGTATGCCTACACACATACATTATATCACTAACAACAACATACATTTAAGTATTTCCGCACAGAAKACTAGAATAAATACAGCAAGCAAATAAAGAAATAACAACAAAAGACWTAAGACACGAACTTGCTCACAATTTCGTAACCAAACAAGTGTATTTGCACCGAAAGCTGCACAGCAAAACACATTTACCACACAATTATTGCATGACGTGCAAAGAAGAATAATAAAAGTTAGACATATATGTATGTAGCATATGTGATGCCGCCAAATAAGCCACTGCGGGCACAGAAAAGCCACCAAGGCAAGTCATGACAGAGTTCATTGCAACGGCAATAAGCAACTAAGCAAGCAGCAAGTCATCTGGAATTTTCTTAATCTCTGTATTATTTGTTTATTGTGGAAAATTACGTTTGCGCATGCTTAGTCAAACGTTTGCAAAGGCTGGCGGGCGCTTTATTGCACAGACAATTACGAAAATGGCGAGGCAAAATAATTCCAGTCAGCGTCATTGACCAACATCAACGCGCATTGTGTTAAGCAATAACATACTTAACGCCGATAAAATGCCTTAAACAAGTTTTTGCAACAACAAAGCATGAAAACAATTCTAACCGCGCTCAGCGGCGACTGGCAAGTGTGTGGGTGCTTGGCTATCGGGTGTTGATTTGTTGGTTCGATGCCGGTGGAAAGCAAAGCTTTCAATTTTGGTAGTATTTTCGGCAGTGGTCGCTTATCTAATGAGTCTTATTTCATACTTGAAAGCTTTTTTACCAAAACTTCATCAGTTAGTCGCTTACAGCAGTTGGAAGCAAATTAGTTGTGAAGCGCGGCCCAAGTTCGCTCGTCACGAGTTTACTCTCATATGATGATAAGCAGTTCACTACACTCATTCTAGTACAAAAAACCGCTATCATGACAACTGAAAACCCCAAATAAATTGTAAACAAAAACAATATTGCATTTTTTTTGTATAATTAATTATTTTTCATTTATTTACTAAACTCAGAAGTATTTAATTCGTAAAGAATAAGTTCATTTATATTATAACAACAAATCAAAAAAATATATATATTTATATATATAAACATTTTGACCTTTTGGCGTAGGTAGGTGCGTATATTGTTTTCTCTACTCAAGAGAGATGTGCATTTACTTTAATAGTCGCAGGTAAAATGCCGGAAACTGCAAAGGCGGTGCGCTGCCTAGGGAGGACATCCTTACGCCAACAACATTCGATTGGAAGCGAGTCGGTCTGGTCAACAACCAGAACTTGTGCGATAGCGAAAGTCTTCTGGCTCAGAGTGAAACTTAAAATGTCCTCCCAACTACTTGCACTTAGCAAAGGTTGGTGTGGCTATCTAAGGCTCTATTAAAACACCTGTTTCAGGTTCAATAATTCTAGCCGGACTTATATTGAAGTTAGAAGGGTACGGATTATTACGAGTTTGCTTACTCAGTTCGAAGTAGCATTTGTTGGTAAAAGTTACTCTGCGTTGGATTTCGAGTCYAGCATTGTTGTTACTGATAAAACTGGTTCCAAGATAGACGAAATTCTTCTTTATCTATTCTGGAGAAAGCAKAACTAAGTGCACGATTCTTCGCCACAGTATTTGAATAGCTCGGCTCATACGGGTAATTGCTATTGGAACTTGTTCATGGTCGAGCAATAGAACTCCTGCTCCAACGCTGTAGAAGTATTTTTTCCATAAATTTATTAGGCTCTGGACATCAGTCAGTAGATTAGTTCTGAGAATTCTACCGGTCTTGAAACCATCTTTTAGTCACCGTATCTTCTCGTAGAATTTTCGAAAATCGCTCCTGTCAACCAGCTCGTCAAGCATTTCGGCCTCTTTCTTTTTTTGTTTGCAAATCCGTCTCGCTTCCACCTTTAACCCTCGGCATCCATTCCATCCGGCATGCGTTGTGATCGATTGTAACGTTGCGAGGTAATAAAACTGCTTTCTCTCTACTGCGACACGGCACTCCTCGTCGTACCAGCAGTTATTTTGAATTTGCCGAGAACCAATGGCAACTAAGAAACTTGAATTGCCGTCCCACAGTGCCCTTATACCGATTTGCTGACGAGTGCTCTTAAAGAGCTGGAGTGGAATCGAGTAGCAAATCGTCCGACTGTCTACTGTGACATGATCGATCTTGTGGCTTGCTGAATTTTCTTATACTGGATTCTAGTACTACATATAACCATATTTCGGTCTCCGGCGATCTCGATCAGACTCGATCCATTTGGGGATGTTTCGTCGTGGAGACTGAATTTACCAACCGTTGGGCCAAAGATACATTCTTTACCCAATCTAGCGTTATAGG